ATAATCCAGTTATTCAGTTCATTAGATTCTGTTTCCAAGTGAAAACAGATTAGTAGGTTGATAATAATGTGCCTGTTTACACAGCAAAATCTTTGTAACATCATAACCTAGTGGTCAGCATGACTTCTGCTTTGTGTGTGTGTGTGTGTGTGTATTTGCAATGCTGGGGATCAAAATCAGCACCTCATGCACACTTAGGCAAACACTACCACTATGCTATACCCTGGCCCCTTTTAGAGATAGGGTCTTGCTATGTTGCCCAGGCTGGCCTAACTCACAATCCTCTTAATTCAGACTCAAGGAGCTAGGAGAACAGGTGATTTCCACCATGCCTAGCTGCCCAGACTTATTTTTACTTTGAAGTTCAGGGGGCTGGCCATTTCATAATAATGGTCTATATGTCCATCAACAGATGACTGGCTAAAGAAAATGTGGCACTCACATACAATGGAGTGTGACTGGCACAAAGACTAAATTTGAGTCACTTGTAGGAAAAAGGGTGCAAATTGAGACTATATGTTAAGTGGAATAAATGAGATACACAAGCTTAAATATCAGATAGTTTCTTAATGAGAAACTAAAAATACAAACAAAGAGCAAAATAAAAGATAGATAAGAGGAAATGAGGGGGGCTGGGGTTTAGTTTAGTGAAGTAAGTGCCTGCCCTGGCAAGTGCAAGGTCGTGAGTTCGATCCCTAGTACCAAAAAAAAAAAAAAAAAAAAAAAAAAAGAAAAAGAAAAAAGGAAATGAGGAGCCAAATAGATCTCTTACAAATGGGAGGGGACCAGGAGATGGCAGGAGGGGGGAAGGATAGCAGATATAAAAAGAACTAAGATGTGTTATGCAATGTGCCAATAACCCCATGGGGAATGTCATTATGTACTGTACACGTGTACTGATAAAAAAAATAAGAAAAAAAAAAAACAAGTTTATAGAGGGTTGGGAGTGCAGCTAAGTAGTACAGTGTTTGCCTAGGTTTGTGCTAATGAGTGTGTGAGGCTTTAGGTTTGATCTCTCTAGCATTACATAAAAAAAGAAGACACACACACACACACACACACACACGGTCCTCTGCCTTTATGGGACTATTGCAGCCCAAAAGAACAGCAAGAAGTACACTACAGCGGGCCTGTATTATAGCCTAGAATACAGTACTTATCCACAAACCAAATTCCATGACAAAAACGTGTTCTTATAGAAAAGTCATCCTCAGATATATTTTCTGCAGCTTTTTAATCTAGAAATCATTTATAACTTTCAAAAAGGAATGACTAAACAAGAGGCATAAAAATCTAACACATAGCTTCCCAAGTTGTTGTTCCAATCAGACAAGGCACAACAAAAAATGTATTAAAAAAGATTCATGCTTTAAACTTTCCTTGTCCAATAAGATAGCTGCTAGAGCACATGGCTGCATAAATTCAAATAAAGTACCTAAACTAAAAAATTTTATTCCTCACTTATACTAGCAGCTATATTTCAAGTACTTAGTAGTTAGCCACTTACAGCTGGTGGCTATCACAATGGACAGTACTGACAGTACTGATACAGTACTTTTCTATCATTATGGAGTTCTACTAACAGCAGTGCTCTCAATACAAACTGATGAATTACAGAATTTTATTGCTGCAGTACATGGAAAGACTACTGGCTTTGAAGACCAACAGTTGTAGATTCCAATTCTGTATCTCTCACTGTCTTTATGACACTTAAACAGGTTTCTATGTCTCAGGTCTCATTTCCTTACCCTATGAGTTGGGAGTCAGAGATAAGGCAGTGTAACACACAATAATAAATGTTCAATAACTGCATAATCTGCAATCTCCCCACTTTTCATTGAAGTTCCACTTGATGCCTTTTTAGGTTGTTGAAAGCTCTTTGTACAGAATGATTACAGTGTTTCTGAAATAGCTGAGAAAATTACCAAACTTAAACTCCTGATTAATGAAATCATTTTCCCTGTAAGATGTTTACCTTTTTCTTAGGAGTAAAGTGAGCAGGTGGGTACTTTGCATGAATATAAAGAAACTAAAAATAAATAAGTGTTACAGTTCAAAGTTCTATTACATTAGCTCTAAAACTTGATTTGAATGCAATAAACTGGATATGAAGTTGTTTAACTTGAGTTAAATGGGTCAGGTGTCTTGGTGGTATTTCTCACAGGAGAATGACAAAAGAATAGCTAAAGAATCAGGTATAATTACCCATAGATATAATCAGACAGTAACTAATTTTTTAATCAAAAAACAAGTCCCTAAACGACTCATAAGCTTGGTGACCTAAGGAGACTTTTCTACTTTTAGGACAAAGCAGACAAAACAGACACTCAAGAGAAGCCTTAACGTTCCCCAAATCACTGTATACATTTTTCACTTCTCCCCAACACAGCTCTCTTCAAATAATTTCTCCTGTGGAATGATCTGGTTTAGTGTGTTTTCTGTTCAACAAAGGAAACTTGTTTCTACCACTTGTTGAAAATCTTTCTAGGGCCAGGGATTTAGCTCAGCGGCATGAGTGCCTGCCTGGCAAGTGCAAGGTCATGAGTTCAATCCCTGGTGCCACAAAAAAAAAAAAAAAAAAAAAAGAGGAAAATCTTTCTAAATGAAAATGTATTAGCTCATTTTTCACCCTAAGAAATTCTAATAAAACACTTGAGATGACTTAACATCTCCCTGAACAAAGTATGATACTATAATGGGTTAAAGTTGTAGGATACTGACATTTTTATATCCTTCTCAGGTTATAGCTTAGTTATATACAGATTTTTCACAAAATAAAACCTAGTATTATTTTGTTTCCTTACAATTTGCTCATTTGTTTTACATATGGACTACAGAAATAGTCCCAGAGACCTGAAGCCCTGGAGAGTTAGGTACTGGCTAATCATGGTACAGTTATACATCACACTTCAATTTCACAAGATCCTTTGCTTGTAAAAGAAATATAATTTACTTCAGGCTTTTGCCTAAATAGTAGTTAGGTCCAAGGTCTTTTGATCATTTTCCCTACTACTACGAGCAATGGCTAGATTAAGTTTCTAGACAGAAGATGCAGAATCAAGCCAATTTCTCTTTTAAAAAATTAAATCTGTATTCCTTGGCAGAACTTTCTCCTTAGTGGAATGTTCAACACAAAGAAAACAGCCATCTAAAATAATTTTGCTATTCACATTAGTGTAAATAAAATCCATCTAAACTTATAGGTATTAACAATATGTCCAATATATGTACAGAACTTAAAAATCTGGGATGTAATTATTTGACAAATAGCTTACTGCAAACAGATCCTATTTCACTTACTTAAAACAGGTGTGGAAGAAATCTGGGCTCTTCTCATTCAGTTAATTACAGAACATATAAATAATCAGTAGTTTCACACACATACACACACACAGACACACACACACCCCCCCTTAGCAGTGTGAGGGATTGAACATAGGGCCTTTTGCATGCTAGGGAAGCACTGAACTGCATCCTGTGTCAATTTTGAGATGAGGTCTCACTAGATTTCCTAAGCTGGCCTTGAACTTGTGATCCTCCTGCCTTTGCTTCCCATGAGTTTGCATTACAGCCAGGTAGTTTACATTGTCACCACACCTGGCACCTTGTTTATATTTTATACTGAAGATACTAATTACTAATTACTTCTCCAATACTAATTACTTCTCAACCAAATGAAAAGTAGCACAGTAACTTTTACTTTTAAAGTTAGAAACAAATTTCTCAAACAATATCCTTAGGTGAACACAACTGTTCTGCCACTATAATGAATTGTCATATCCTGAAATCAATGCCAAGACCGATTGGGCCAGGTGTAATCCCACCACTCAAGAGTAATCCTGTAATCCCAGCACTCAAGAGTCTGAAGTGAGAGAAATGCTAGGAGTTTGAGGCCAACCTGGGCTACACAGTGAGTTCAAGGCCAGCCTGAGCTGCATACTGAAATCCTGTCTCAAAAGACAAGAAAACAAACAACACCACAAAAAAACACAAAACTGATTGCCTTCAGACTTCAATCATCTTTATTTTTAATACCCAAACTGAAATGAGAACCCAAGTGTAGTTTTCCATACAGATGGTCCCCTATTTAACATGATTCAATCTAGATTTTTTTGACTTTCCAAAGGCGTAAAAGTGATGGGCATTCAGTAGAAACTGTACTTAGAATTCTGCATTTTTTTCCCCCCAGGCTAATTATAATATGATACTCTCCCGTGATCCTGGGCAGAACCAGCCAGGCATAGATTCCAGTTAGACAAGTGATCACAAGAGGAAAGAAACTACTAATACTCTTACAGTGTAGTGTGTTGTTAAGCTGTGCTATCTGGTGTTATTTTAAGTGCTTTTATAATATACACCTACTGCAGGTTGAGGAACATTTGTACTGTACTTTCTTTAAAGGGCTATTCTAGTTTTGGTGACTGCATTAATCATTATTAGAGACTGCAAAATGCCCAAAACAATCCTGAAAAAGCAGGAAAAGATTTCCAAGCTCCACTCTCCAACTGACTGCCCATCAATCTCTGAGTCACTGTTAACAGTGATACCCCACCACCACCACTATGCATCTCTGAGCTCTGGGCACGGCACAGGTACCCTATAGTCAGTCCATTAAACAACCAAAAACATCGCCATCCAGGGCAAAGACACTACTTCCTCCCTGGAGAGAAGTATCAGTATTTGCTCATCTGTTTCTCTCAAACTAAGTTCTGCTGCCATAGGCGTGGGTAGACAAGAAAGAGTTCAGTGCTCCTCAATGCAGTGCTAAAATAAGGAGTAAAACTTATTTTCATGACAGAAACAGAAATATAGTAATGAATTGGATAATACAGTTAACTAAAATTACAATACATTACATACAAGTGTTAAGTTTGATATCATGCAAAGACTCATTTATAAACTGTAAAAAACAACATAGGCCATATTCTGTAACTTCGAACTCCAAAAATCATGTGTGAAAACAAAGTTATTTAATATTAAATGTAAACAGATATACTCACAGCTTGCATTTCTATACAGAAGAAATGGTTCATGGAGTTGAAATTCCAAATCTTTATTCACTGGTTCAACTAGATTGTGCATATTCAGTCGATTTACAATGGTAAAACCATGGTAGGGTGAGGCTGACCTTAGATTTAATTGGAGAAAAGTCCAAATTATCTTAAAACCTGCAACAAAGTTATATACGACTCTATTTTCATCTCAAGAAAGAAAGAACACACTAGTGGACTGTACAGTATTATCAGCACTTAAAACCATAAAAAATTTAAGTCAGAGCATATCCCTCCTCTGCTCAGATGTCTTTAAGGACCAGTTTAAAAGCCAAAGTCCTTATCAAGGCCAACAAGGCCCCACCTAATGCCCACACCCCACTTTATCTTCTAGGTTCCTTTTCTTGCTTCCTCTGCCCCAATGCCTCTAGGCTCCTTGCCACTCTCTGCACAGGTGTTTATACCCAAAGACCTGTGCCTGGATCACTGCCCAATCCACACAACCATCTCATCTCCAGCAAGCTTCTGCTACAGTGTTACCTTCCTACTGCAGTGTACCTGGACTACCCTTTTTAATGTTCCCAACCTCAATAATGTTAACCTTTCTCTTTTTATTCATATCATTTACTTTTTATACTGATTGCTTTTCTCCCTCAACTATAGTACAAGATCCTTGCAAGTGAGATTTTTAATTTTTTTCACAAATGTATCCCAGACACACAGTGTAGATATTTATAAGAAGTATCATTCAGCCAGGCGTGGTGGCTCACGCCTGTAATCCCAGCACTTGGGAGGCTGAGGCAGGAGGATTGTTGTAATTTCGAGAGCAGCATGGGCTACAAAGTGAGCTCAAGGCCAGCCACAACTGCACAGAGATACCCTGTCTTAAAGACAAAAAAATTAAAAAAAAGAAGTATCATTCATTTATTTTAAATGTTACAGAATTGGCTACAATGACTCATCATTACATGAATAATTTTCCTTAACACCAAATAGGTTTTTATATAGTTCTCCTATATAGTTGGAACATCCCTCGACTTCTATAACAAGCAAAGTCTCCAGTTCCTGTATCAGCAGGATTTATACACAGTCCTTTGAACATGCCTTACACATATTTTAATACTTCATAATTTCTCATGGTCAATAAATAACAATAAAGCCTGTAAAGTACCTTCTAAATATCACTGATACCAATGTTCTACTAAAAATTAAGTGATTTTAGGGATTTATATTGCTAATGAAGAATAACGAAGAGGTTGAAGGGGAAGACTTTTTTTCTAAAGAAAGGAGAAAATAACAGGAAACAAAGATCAGAGAAAGAGCTTGGTATATGAAAACCAAAGAACTCACACTACAAGGAATCTAGAAAAGATCTCAAAGCTTTATACTAAAATTTTTAAGAATATCTGACAAAATCTTTTTTTAAAAAATGGTAGCAAAGTTTTATTAAAGGTAAGACAAGAAACAAGCACTGCGAGTTTATGACAAGTAAAAGTAGGAAAAAGAAATGCACCTTACAGCATGAGGGTGGGCTATAAAAGGCATGCGACAAAATCTTTTTAATTAGAACCAAAGGAGAAAGGCAATCCTTAAAACATACTGAATGCTAAGAAAAACAAAACAAAACAATCTCCACAAGATATCAGTAATAACTACCATTGCAGATACCTTAAATCTTGGAACACAAGAGACAGAACCTGCCTCTATCGGAACAAAACCTTTAGAGGAATTCAGGAAAAAAATTACCCCTTGAGTATAATATTCTTTAAGTTTCCTTACTACAAAGTTGCATTTCAATTATATTTTAATGTAATTAATTCTCTTAAAGTAAAAAAGTATGCAATTATGAATAATCTAGGCTTCTACAAAAAGCCTCTCAAATTAAAAAATACGTATTATCAAAGGCACTGTGCATAATTCAGGTCTTTTGCCAGGTTAGGGTGGTGGTGGTAATGGAATTGGAGGGAAGGAAGGGGGCAGAACCAGTCGTAAAAGACAAAAAAACACACAAGAGAGGACCTGAGGTCTCAATCATTACTTTATAGAACTAGTCAATACATGGTCCTCAAAAGTACATTTTTTCTATTTAACATAGCAGAAGGGAGACAAGCATCTGTTTTACAGTTATTCATTCCTAGAAAATACTATTTTTGAACAGTTTTATTCTAAATCAAAGCAAGGACCAGAGAAGAGAAATAACTAGGTTAGGACCCCACAATTAGGGATGGATAAAAACTTTAAGCAGGAAGGTTCTAAAGACAAAATCTAAACAGAGATAAACCTTTTTTTTTTTTTGTTTTTTGGTCTTTTTGAGACAGGGTCTCTGTATGCAGTTCAGGCTGGCCTTGAGCTCACTTTGTAGGCGAGGCTGGTCTCGAACTTGCAACCATCCTCCTGCCTCAGCCTCCTGAGTGCTGGGATTACAGGCATGAGCTACCACGCCTGGCTTATAAACCATTTCTTATGGTACTACTTACCATTTATTTTATTTGCAGTGCTAAGGATTGAACACAGGGCCTCAGCATGCTGGACAAAGCACTCTAATATTGAGTTACACCTTCAGTCTCTCATTATTAAGACTTAAAAAAAATACATATATATGCACACTTACCGTCGATATACAAATAAGGTCCCTTCTATATCTGTCTTCTCCTGTAACAGACAATGAATCAGTTAGTGTTATTCTCCCATAATCCAACCCCAAAGACTTCCGGTGAAAGAGGTTCATGTTCAAGATCGACATGTTTTATTTACTGTAAATTAATCACTTCTAAACAGATGAAGTCTCTCTATAAACTGCTGTCACCGGTTTCTTATCTATACAACCTATTCAGAAACAGCCCCACTTATCTGCAATCTGTATTTCACAAGTTTATGTACAGAACAAGTGATTCAATATGCTTCAAATTATGGAGTATCTACAACAGTCAAATTTGAAAAATAATCTGATTTTATTCTAGTGGGTTCTTGCATCTCCTCTTCCTGGAGGTAAAGGAAAGATAATTATGAAAACTTCATGTGAATGAACTGTTCATAAGTGCCAAAAGATTTTCACAAAATTACTATAAGTAAAATCTATGGACCTGTATGTTATAATCTTCCAAAGTTTCATTAACAGTCTCATTTCTTACTGACACGTGAATACCAGTCATTGATGAATTCAATCTAGCACTTAGGAATTATTTTCTAAACGCAAAGCCTATAGCTGAATAAGTTTTAATCATGAAAGGTCAATTACAAGAAAATGGGAAATTACAGAAACAACTAAGGAAGCTTCACGCAAGGGCTAACGAGTCAGTAAACAGACTGTAACTTTCCCTTCTGGTGCACAAAAGCCAAAAAGTACTTAGTTTTGGGGTTTTGGGAAGCCTTCAGAGGTGACATCACTGATCTCTTTTCCCTGTAAGGAGCCTCCAGAGAATCCAATTAACATAGACGCCTTTTCCCTAAGTGACTTGAAATCTTTTCCAAAACTCTGGAAACAGAATGCAGTTCCATTAAACACAGACTACAGCTCTTTTCTAAAGAACTGAAACTAACGATTTCAAGCTTCAAATCCAAATGACCTCTGCGAAGGGGGCTCTCACGTTGTTGGGATCACAGGAAGGGAGTTTACTTTATACATCATGTATACGTAGTTTGTCTAATAAACCTCAAACATAAGTTTTCAGATCCAATCAGTCTCAATCCCCAAATACCTCTGTAAAGACAGGTCGCCCACGTCCCCAAACCCGATCGATCCTCTGGTACTGATTCTGCTCCTATCCCTTCCTTCATCAGCCTTTTCCTGAGACGTGTCTTGGCTACTTCGCTCGCTCTTTCTTCCCAATCCCGAGCGCCCAAACACCTCTCAGGCTCTGGTTGGGCTCTAGGCCAGTCCTTGGCTTGTCTCCACCGCTCAGGCCTCCTGCCTGGCTCCTACCCCAGGCAGCCTGCGTAGCCCCTTTAAGAGGCGGCGGCGGCCAGGCTGGATTCTTCAGTGGACAGGTTTCACTCACCCACTGGTTGGCCTTGGGGCAGAAGGTGTACAGAGCGACCTGGCCCGTGAGGTCTGCGATGCTGGTGATGTAGGGGTCGTGTTGCTTCAGAGCCGCCAGACTCATCTCCTGCCCCGCTCGACTCAACGACTCCATCTTGAATCTCGAAGCTGAGCCCCTCCAGCGGGGCGGAGTCTCGAACCGGAAAGCGCCACCCAAACAAAATTCCCCCATTTGCGTCAGTTCCCTCAACTTCCGCCTCTCAGCCGGTCTTACGGTGGGGTGGTACGTCAACAATTCTTTTCCGCTCTGTGCACACCTTGGGCGCCGGGTTCCGGTAAAGTTATGTTCTAGAGAGCCAATAACTGCAGCAAGTATGGCTGTGCTGAGGAGCTGGCGGCCTAGCGTCCCGCCGCTTCCTCCTAGCGAGTTAAAACGACCAGATCGTGAGGGCCGTGTGCGTGGCCTCCGTGCCCCTGCCAGGCGAGGCTGCGCACTATCGCGGTGCCTGTCTCAGTTCGCCCCGGCAGGTCTCGGGGCCACAGAATCCACTCATCGCTGTGGCAGTTCAGGGCTCCCTGGGGCATTTAGAAAGCACCGGAAACTGCTGGAGGAGTGACCTCTGGACAAGTCCATATCTTAAGTTACACGGCATCATCCAACGTTAACAATTTGGTGATTTTTAAATTAATGAATGAATGAATTAATTACAGTTTGGTTATTTCTTTTTTTTGTTTTTGTTTTTGTCTTTTTTTTTTTTTTTTTTAATTGGTACCAGGGATCGAACTCACGACTGCCTGCTTGCAAGGCAGGCGCTTATGCCGCTGAGCTAAATCCCTAGCCCCCTAGTTTGGTTATTTCTTAAAAGTTCCAAAACAGCCAGATGAACCCGTCTGGAACTACACAGTTTTTTTTTTTCTATTTGCTTTAAAAACAAATTAGTAAATGTTTGCGATACCTACTAGTTAACAGTACATTTTTCATCTTGGATTGGTGATTGTATGTGTCGCATCTTAATTATTGTTTCTTTTTTCCTTTGTTTGGCCCCCATGTAAATACTTCCATGCAGTCCTGGGAAATGCGCGTGAAGACTTGAGCCTGTGTCGCATTCTTCCAATTATTAAATAGATCGCTTATTAGCAAACATCTGTTGAGCATTACAAGATATTTCTGAGGCAGGGAGTAGCCAAGAGTCAGGAACTAGCTAAAAGTAAATCAAAGCGGAAGATTGTGGGGGGCCTCCCCTCTCCAGAATTTTTTTAAATGGAACATTTTCTTTTCAATAAAAGAAACATCTCAACAATTGAAAGTTTTTGAAAGAAAACATTTTTTTTTCATCAGAATAACATTATATTTATATTGTTTATGATTTTACCACCCTGGGCCATTTGCTAGTAGACAAACCCTACATTCTTTGCAGAATTATGTGTAAAGCATGAGTAAATACAGGCAAAGAAAAGTGTAATTTATCCATCATCCACCACACAAGTATTTACTGAACTCCTAAGTTGATTTGTTGGGCCTCCTTTGGGGCTTCTAACTCTTTAAAATATCTTCCTGGCTCTGGAAAAAACTGAAGGAAGCAGAATAAGGTAAAGATAGTGAGACGGAGTTACTAACTGCAGGCTAAAGGCTTCAAGGAAGAGGCAGTGTTTGAGTTGGTTGGTGGTGCGGGAATGAGTAGGTGTTCCTCAGGCAATGGCTCTGGTTCATTTCACTGGCCCAGTGGGCAGGTTGGGAAGACCAAACCATTTTCAACTGATAGATGATTTAATTTAGACTTGGAAGCCTGATAGATGATTTAATTTAGACTTGGAAGCAAGAAATCAGTGGCTCAGAGTTCTAAGCTAGTCAGGGGTATTCAGATACTAGAGGCCAAGAACCCCTGCCTTCTACCCTGTAAGCCTGTCCCCCACACCTGGGCTATTTTTCTTCCAGCGCTGAGGGCAGGATCCCTGTACCCCTCTGCTTACCTTCAACCGAAGCACTTAAAAAAAAAATCTGTAACCTAATTTAAAAATATATGTATGTATTTTTAAATAGATAAAATATTCTCTTGGTACAAAATTCAAAAGGCACATCTGAAACTACAATCAATTTTTCCTTACATATGTTTTCTAAAATAAAATAAGACATTTCTTCATAATTTACTATTTTTGATTGAGTGGGGTTAGGCTAGTGAGGAACAAACTATTTTAGGAAGTTTTAATATTTAGAGTAGAAAATCGTTTCAAAATGCATTTTTGCATGCCTCAGCTCTCCTGCCTTTTACAGCTTTTAAATTGTATTAAAGACAATATGAGTATTTTGGAATTGCAAATTATTCTCATTTATCTTGAGGCCTAATTTTTCCTTATGTATGTGAATCAACCCCTAAAACCTTTGTGTGTCTTTAGGCAGTAGGCACTAAGAAGGGGAGAGATCTCAGTCTGTTAAATTCCTGTTATCTAGCTCAGCCCTGGCACAGACTAGACCCTCAATAAATAGTCATGAGGGAAGACTGTTTTGAAATTTAACTGCTTGAAGGCCACAGGAGAGGCTGGTGAGAGGAGAAGGGAACTGGATGGCTGACCTCAGAGGAGGAAAGGAGGCTTATTCTGTACTCGTAACCTTCAGCCACTTTTGAACAGTTTCAATTATCTTTTGAAAAATAAAAATATTTTAAAAAGTGAAAACAAACTACATCAATCTCCCAAGACCTCTCCTCCACTTTTACTGGCTGTGTGATTAAAAAAAATAAAATGAAATGAAACTTGCCTTTGAAATGATGGGAATCAAGCTGGCCACAATGGCATGTGCCTATAGGAGGATTTGTTTCTTTTTTCAGGAGTATTTCTTGAGCCCCACGAGTTTGAGGCCAGCTTGAACAACATAGTGAGACCCCATCTCAATAAGTAAATCCATCCATCAATCAGTCAATCAATCCTGGGTCAGAGGTAAAAGACACTAAGCTACAATTAGGGTAATCAGTTTTTTAGTTGCAAAACCTACTGATTATATAATTTTCTCAGTTCGCTACAAACTTCCTGTTTTTTCCAGAGTAAAATCTGTATCTATGAACTGCCCTTTTAGTTTTCCTTCCTTGTTCGACTGGCCTTGCTGTTCTACATGTGCTGTCAGAAGACAAAAATCACAACAAATTTAGTTTAAACTTTGAAGGAGCTTTTATTTGTGGCTGTAGAATCATGTAACACTTGTTCAGTGAAAGAATATTTAAACGGTTTGGCAGCCCTAGCACGGAAATACACTTGCCATCACGCAGAAGCTGGTATAAGAATCTGCTTTCTTCTGAGCCAGAAATTAAAGAGATTGGTAAAAATGTTACAAAAAAGAATGGATAGGGTGAGTATTGAACAGAGGAGACTGCTTATAGGTAGGAAGGGCTGAAGAAAGAAGAACAAAAAGTATATGGGTAGCTTTGAAATTCCTTTCTCTATGGACTTAAAGCAGAGGGATCTCCTTGTCATGATGGCTGAGGTAAACAAGACACCCTTTAAAGGCTTAGTTTTTGGAAACTCCTGGGTTTTTTTGTTTGTTTGTTTGTTTGTTTTTGGGGATTGAACTCATGACCTCACACTTGCCAGGCAGACGCTTAGCTAGGCAGACACTGAGCTAAGTCCCTGTCCCCAGAATTGTTTTTGTTTTTGCAGCATTGGCCTTTCTCAGAATCAGTTTAGGTTACTTAGTGCAAGTGATTCCATTCTGGCTTGGACTGATGGGATCTGGTGCGGGGGGGGGGGGGGTGTGCTGGGGCTGTGAGTCTGCCTCCCGTAAACCTCGCTCAACAGTGCTGGGTGAGTCTCGCCTTAGGTTCTTTGGGCTTGCTCTTCCTCCTTTCTTATGCTTTCCTCTTATATCCTGTGGCTCATTTTGTCATTATCTTCATAGCATTTACCCGCAACTTTTAATTGTTTTATTTATGTATGGTTTGAATCTCTTTTGTATCTCTGGCTAGTTCAGGGAAGGCAGGAGCCATGCCTGTCTTGTATACCATCAAATTCACAGGGCCTGGCACAGCAGCAGGACCTGATACTTGTTTCTTGAATAAACTGCAGTGTTAAGGTGCTCCCTTTTTATCTGTTGTACAACTCTGAAAGAAGTGATGACGATTTCGACTCCACCTCTGATAAAGCCCTATTTATCAGTTAATGATGCTTGCTTTGCTAGTCTTAATATATTTTGATTTTTAGGCTAAAAGCCACCATGTTGTTTTTAGTATAGTCCTGAATAGTCATTCAGCACTTCTCAGTTGCATCTTTCCTCATGTGTATGTTTTTTCCCTCCTCCTCTACACTTTTCTTTATTGTCTTTTCCCTCTCTCACTGCTCTGGCTCATATTCTAAAGATTTATTTTAGAAGTATCATTTTATTACTGTTTGCCTTTTTAGACAGAGAAACTAAGCTAACTAAATTTGCCAACGTCATCTAATGATTCATTTGTCATTTCGGGATTAACGTCTTCTAACCTTGGCTTCCGGGTAGATCATGTATCTTGCTATCATTCTGCTTAGCACACTCTTCAATTACACTGGCCACGTGTGAGTGAAACTTGTTACCCTTGTGCTGCTGTTCCACCATTGATACTTATTTTAATTTATGTTACCTGAATGGTAGTTAAAAGGTTGTGGGCTTACTAAAATTGATTATCAGGTTTATCAGATACTTAAGATAATAATTCTTTCATTTCTCCATAAAGGGCTCAGATCTTTGTATTTATAAAAGCTTTTTTTTTGAGATGAAATCTTGCAGTGTTATCTAGGCAGGTCTTGAATTTGTGGGCTCAAGCAGCCCTTTCACTTCAGCCTTGCAAAGTAGTCTGGACTATAGTTGTGTACTATCATGCATGGCTTATAAAAATATTGTTGCTGGGGATGGTGGTGTGTGCCTATAGTCACAGTACTCTGGGAGGCTGAGACAGGAAGATGAAAGTTTGAGTCCAGCCTGGGCAACTTAGTGAGATCTTTCTTAAAACAAAACAAAAAAATGTATATTTATATATACATATATATTTATATACATGTACATATTTATGTACATTTTTATATATACATATATCTGTGTGTATATATATATATATGGTTTGGGGATGTAACTGAGTATGAAGGTGTTAAAGATGCTAGGTGTTTTTTAGAATTACATTTCTGATATGTGAATTAGTTTAGGTTGTT